TACTATTCCAACAAATAGGCTGAGAAAACTAAAGAACGATATGAGTACCAATCGTTTTTCTTTACCATTCCATCATTTAGGCTGAGAAAACGAAAGAACGCTATGAGTATGAAAAGTTGATCTCTACCATTTTACCAACTAGGGTAAGGAATTTAAAGAAAGATATGAGCATCCAAAGTTGGACTTTACAGTTCCGTCAACAAGGCTGAGAAAACTATAGAACGATATGAGCATCAAAAGGTAGTCTCTACCATTCCATCAAATAGGCTGAGAAAACTAAAGAACGATGTGAGCATTAAGGGTTGGTTTTTACCATTCCATAATACGTTTATGAACCTAAAGAAAGATATGAGCATTTAAAGTTAGTCTCCACTATTCCATCGACTAGGCATAGAAAACTAAATAACCATATGAGCATGAAAAGTTGATCTTTACTATTCCACCAAATACGTTGAGGAACCTAATGAACGGTATGAGCATTTAAAGTTCTTCTCTACCATTCCATCGACTAGGCTGAGAAAACTAAATAACGATATACGAATGAAAAATTGGTCTTTACCATTCCATCAAATACGTTGAGGAACCTAACGAAAGATACGAGCATCAAACGTTGTTCTCTACCATTCCACCAACTAGACTGAGAAACTAATGAACGATATGAGAATTTAAAGTTGGTCTGTACCATTCCATTGACTAGGCTTAGAAAACTAAATAACGATATGAGCATCTAAAGTTGGTCTCAACCATTACATCGACTAGGCTGAGAAAACTAAAGAACGTTATGAGCGTCAAAAGTTGGTTTCTATCATTACATGAGCTACTTTAAGAAAAGTATAGAATGATTTGAGCATCAAAAGTTGGTCTTTACCATTCTATCACCTAGGCTGAGAAAACAAATGAATGATGTGAGCATCAAAGGATGGTTTCTACCATTCAATCAATTCGGCTAAGAAAACTAAAGAACGATGTGAGCATGAAAGGTTGGTTTTTACCTTTCCATCAAATACGCTTAGTAACCTAAAGAATGATATGAGCATCAAAAGTTGGTTTTTACCATTCAAACAGCTAGGCTGAGAAAACGAAAGAACGATGAGAGCATCGAACGTTGGTCTCCACTATTCCCTCAAATATGCAGAGAAAACTAAAGAACGATATGAGCATAAAAAGTTGGTCTGTACCATTCCAACATCTATAACTGAGAACACTAAAGATCGATATAAGCATCCAAAGTTGATCCTCACCATTCCATCAACTAGGCTATAAAAACTTGAGAACGATATGAGTTTCAAACGATAGTCTCTACCATTCCACCTGCTAGGCTGAGAAAACTAAAGAACGATATGAGCATAAATAATTTCGTCTTTACCATTCATCAACTAGGCTGAGAAAACAAAGGAACGATATGAGCATCAAACTTGGTCTATACCATTCCATCAACTAGGCTGAGAAAACTAAAGAATGATATGAGCATAAAAAGTTGGTCTTTACCATTTCAAAAACTAGGTTAAGAAAAGTAAAGAACAATATGAGGATCAAAAGTTGTTCTCTTTCATCCCACCAATAGGCTGAGAAAACTAAATAACGATCTGTGCATCAAAAATTGGTCTCTACCATTCCATAAAAAAAAAGCTGAGAAAACGAAAGAACGATGTGAGCATCAAACGTTAGTCTCTACCATTCAATCAACTAGCTTGAGAAAACTAAAGAACGATATGAGCATCAAAAGCTAGTCTCTACCATTCCAACATCTATGGCTAAGAAAACTAAAGAACGATATGAGCATAAAAAGTTGGTTTGTACCATTCCAACATCTATATCTGAGAAAACTAAATAACGATATAAGCACCAAAAGTTGGTCTCTATCATTTCATTGACTAGGCTGAGAAAACTAAAGAATGATATGAGAGGCAAAAGATGGTTCATACTATTCCATCAACTGGGATGAGCAAACTATAGAACGATATGAGCATCAAAAGTTGGTATCAACCATTCTATCGACTAGGCTGATAAAACTAAAGAACAATCTGAGCATGAAAAGTTGGATACTAGCAAATGTACCTAAAATAACACGCATTTAACGCAATGCTACAAATGGGGATCTTATCCTCTGGTTTGTTTGAGCTGCAGCATATCAACATTTCGTATGATGAAAATGTACCCTTGCTACACGCGGTGTTAAACGTCACTTATTTTGACCTGATCTCATGTAATTTGATAATGAGTCCTTTTGTAGCATCAAAACGGTAAAAATGTAATGATCCTAATGTGTTTGTTCAACCCTCCAGTGGCACAGCGATATGTCTGCAGACTTACAACGTTAGAATCCGAATTTAGATACCCGTGGTGGACAGAGCACAGATAGCTCATTGTGTAACTTTGGGTTTCTTTACAAACAAACTGTTCGTACAACAGATTGTCCACTTTATTTTCGGGGTTATGGGGTGTGTTAGGCTTTTAGCTCGTCTAACAAATTTCATCGAACTAACTTCAACCTTTTCCCCAGAGAAACTTGTGAATCCAATAAGATGGTCAATTCTGCTATATATATATATACAGAAATAAGTTTCACATGAATTCAGCCACACAACTTAAAACATGATTTTAAATAAGACTGTTAAATAAATTCAAATTAATCATCTTATACCACATTTTTACTTCAGACGTAACTTAAACTGTAGAAAAATATTACAGAGAAGAATGTTTTTGATTTTAAGATAAACACAAGATGCTCTTACGTCTCTGTTCGTTGGTTAATTATCTTAACTCTCCCACATTGTCTGGTGTTGGCCAATCACACACTGCTTTCACCTTGTCAGGATCAGTTTGCACACCTTGTTCACTTACAATGTAAATCTCCTCTTTCTGGAACAAGTGCCACTTCTTGGGATGGAGTTTGAGGTTTGCTTATTTCAAACGCTTGAATACTTCCTCTAGCCGGGAAATTTCCTCATCAAAAGTTGTTGCAAATACAATGACATCATCCAGGTACACTAGGGCTATCCTCCATTGTAGGCCTTCCAGTACTCTTTCCATCAGCTTCTCAAATGTTACCGGAACATTGCTAAGCCCAAATGTCATCACACAGTATTGCCATAACCTTGGCCATAACTCAATGCAGTCTTAGGTTTATCTTCTTCAGGCATTTTCATTTGATGGAAACC